GCAGTGGCGCCGCAACGAGCTCAAGCGACGCGCGCGCCTCTTCTAGCGTGTCCCTGGGCGTAGTCCTGGGCGTGGCCCTGGGCGGCGGCGCGGGGCGCGGCGAGGGAATTTCATCTATCTAATAATTCGGGTCTTCTAACGTTGTAAAGCGGCGGCAGAAGTTCGCAGTTTAAAATTGATTTAATCTGTCTAGTTGATAATCCGCTTACGCAAGCTATGATCTGTAAAGTTTTGGTTATTGTCGTTTGAAAAATATGTATTCGATGTAGAATGACAAAGCATGTAATTTGGGGAACAACATAAATAAATAGAAAATCGCAACAACTGTAAGAAGAGATAGGAATATTGCGAGGATCCCGAGCGTGCGAGCGAGACGGACGACAGCGACAGTATGATGATGCACCAAGCGTACTTGTCTGTACGTCGACTTATTTATTCGGCATAATTTTATATCTATGAATGTTAATATTTTTAATTTTATTCGAGGCAAGTTGTAGAGCCGCCCCCGCGCCCTCCCTCCGGGTGGCCATCTCCGACACTAACTAGAGCAGCTATTCTGTATTTATTGTATAGTTATACTCCGTGTAGGGCAGCTACTGTGAGGAGATCTACCGGTGAAGGGGGTGAGGGGGAGGCGCGCGGGGGACGAAGCTCCCTTTTATACATAATATAATTGTATTTAATTAATATATGAACGATATTATTGTAACTCTTCACATAATATTTAGTCTGTAAGTATGCGGTGTGATTTTTCCTCGTATTTAGATATATTGTACGGTTCATAGAACTGTCGGCCTGCACGAGGTGAGCTAGCGGCGGGTGAGGCGGCGACGCGCTCCCGCAGCCGCAGACACACTGTATAGATATCTTGCTAATCCTGCGCGGCGTGTGCGTGTCTGCCTGTCTGTGTGTGTGAGCGACGATGTTAATGTTTACTTTAGTGAGAACCAAATATATGAGTACTTTAAGAAAACATTATATTGTGTTAGATAAGTTGGGGTAACACTTGCGTACTATATCATAGTGTAAGTGCAGCTGTGCCGGCGGCCGATAGTTTTTTTTTATATTACTGATTGATTGAACGGCAATTAAAGAAATTTATTTAATAAGTAAATAGAGTGAAGCAGCAGAGCAGCGAGCGAGCCGGGGCGCGGCCGCACAATCACTACTTATTGTTTTTAATGTTATTTTAGCGATGCATTGCGAGTGGTCGGTGAGTGAATGTGCTCTGCAAGTGCCTCAGTTGTTACCATGTGTGTGTAAGTGTGTGTGTGTGTGTGTGTGTGAGTGTGTTATGTGCGTGGCGGCCATGCGGCCTGGCAGCGGATAGGATTCTATTTTAAATATAAATGTATATGCAACTTTATTTAAAACGACTCATCTGAGACTCATCGTTTAACAAATAGCACAGAATTGTGCTCATCGGCAAGCTGCCACGCTGACGCTGTAGCGCTAGCGTCGCTGACACTGGCCCTAGCGTCTCTGACACAGTGGCGCTAGCGTCGCTGACACAGTGCCGCTAGCGTCGCTGGCCGCTGTATGAGCGAGACGCGAGCGAGAGCGAGACATCGGTGATTTTATGTAAAGACTATGCTTTCGAAGTAATAAACATTGCATTTCCGACTACATTTCACTGTTGTTTTATTTGAATAACAGCCCACTTCAGCCAAATATATGCTTGTCTATTTATTTTACATCAAAATGCAATTTTGAAAACAAACCTGTACTTTGTACGAAAGATCATAACTCAATTATGAATGATGGATAATATTTTCAACATTTTCTTGTAAGAAAATAATTAAAAAATGGGATTTTTTAAGTTATTTTAGAGACCACTTAAAAGATCAATTAAAAATAATCTTGCCAGGTTAGGGTTAGGCAACCCGGTTACAACATGATTAAAATCATGATAACATAAAATGTAAATTTTTATCAGAAAATCTGATTAGGGAATGTTAGGAATGTATCTCTACCTATAATACGCGTTTGTATGTATATCATATGCATGCAATCATACTAATAATTGCGACATGGATGGATGGATGTTTGTTAACATTTTTAGCATACACGGCTGAACGGATTTCGATGAAATTTGGTATAGATGTAGAAGATATTCACTCACTTTGTTTTTTTAATTGTACATGAACGGATTTGCGGTTGATAGTTTGTTCTTTTTATAAATATAATACATTGGCAATACCTTTTATCAATAATTTTTTGTCATTGCAATACTGCAGAAAAGTCTTCTGTTACTTTGACGGCTAGATGACAGCCAAAGTGTTGCATGCTCGTTGTTGGTAATCTGGTATTAATATTTATTTATTGAGAGGTTTATGCTGGTTTTTGATTAGAAAAATCAACTATACGATTTTGTTTTAAAAGTAAATTTAGTAAGCTCCTCATTTTAATTTCCGTAAAAATCGAAAAACAAAAATTATTTATTAGCTTAATCTGCTTCACTATTTAGGTTTATGCGCTTAAACGCTTATACGAAACAAAGTACTTTGAAAACAATTTGCGATCTTGCCCTTTATTTACATTAAGTTTTGGCTAGAATAGATCTTACGCAATCGGCGTTGTGTCGCACGGTGTAAGAATGAGTGAAGTCGAAAGAGTGCAACCGTAGATAAGATAATGATAAGTGACGATAACATACGTAGCGTGAGTTGATAAGCACTAGCTTGCTAGGTTCTCTGAGACAACTGGCAACTCCGTCGTCGGCTGCCGCGCGTGCTAATCGTATCGCACCAGTGAATCAATTTTGATTGTTCGTTCTAAATTTTCGATGACTTAGTGACAAAAATAGTGTAGTAAAAATGACATTGGTAAATTGGTAAAGCAAACAAATCCCATATAAATTTAACCGTTTCTGTGTTTATTTCGTGCTTAGTGTCAGTATTAAGTGAGTATTATGAACTTTGAGGACTATGAAACCCTTCCAACCCAGAACTCTGTCACACATATGACAGCTGGAGCGATAGCGGGAGTGATGGAGCATTGCATAATGTACCCGCTCGACTCCGTCAAGGTGAGTGGCGGCCGGGAGCAGCCGGGCCGGCGCCTCATGCGCCGCGAGGCGAGGCCCTAACCTACGCGGCCCGATGGCACCTCAGTGCTTCGCGCGTTACAACACACTTTTCTTTTAGGGGTTATGTAAAGACCAATAAGACTCGTTTGTTTCCCTACTTCTCAGATCTAAAAACTTTTGTATTGACATTAGATGTCGTGTGAAACTGCTCCTGTTTTTAAACATTGACAGCTGTTTACTTTCTTCTCTATCATTCTGCTTTCACTTGAGTTTAGACCAAAATGTTGTTAGAATTTGTTGTTTTTATTTTTTCCCTTATGAAGGGATTGTCATTCATTCTTATGTGATTGCTAAACATTTTGGTTGTTTACATGTTCATTAAGTTATTCTTGATATTAATGCTGACATTGCTATAACTTGTTCAAGGTCTTGTATTCTTCAAGTTTTACTAAACAGTACACCTTGTTTTATTAATGTTATGTTGCAAATACATAAACAGTGGAGGAATCATCTTTAACATCCATTCTTTATTACTTTGTAATGAAAGTAATAAGACAAAATAGAAATTGCTTGTTTATTTGATGTCATTGTTATAAATAATTACATCAACAAATAGAAACTACACATCTTAGATTTAGTTATACTTGTGTGTTTGTTCTTTTGCATTATTTTTTTTACTGTTCACAACTGCAGGCAATGAGTGTATGAACAATAGTAAACAATTTAATTTTATAAAAGCTCCATTACATTAAAGTAAACTAAGTTTAAGTAGTCTAGGAAATTGATGCACATTTGTAGAATAGATTGCCCGGTCTAGTCCGGCATCCCTTGCAAACTGACATGTATAATTTAAAAACATACAACATATTTTATTTGTAATTGGTTGTATTAGAAAGTACTCTTTTGTAAAATAATTCAAACTGTAGAGGGTCTTTGGCAACAGTAGTGAGATAAATCTGATAGTTTTACATAGTCCTGCAAAACATATGTGTGATTACAGTTGCTTTGATATAGCTACAGAAGGAACATACATACAAATGCACTTAAATTAAAACATTTTTGCATACATGTAAAATAAATAAATATAAGTTTTGTCATTTTCATCACAAACATGTGCATACAATGCTGCCATTTACATACTAGCTTTTGCCCGCGACTTTGTCTGTGTGGTATTAAAAAATTAAAAGTAAGTAGCCTACGTGTTCTTCCAGACTATTGTCTAAATCTTTTTAATATTTAAATGCTATGCATTCAGCACTTTAGGCTACAAACATTAACAAACATCCATCCAACTAAACTTTCATATTTATATTAGTAATATTTACCACATAAATTAAGACACTTTTTCTAATTGAGCACAAAGCAAGCTTAGGACTTATTATCTATTTTTATTTGACAGAGGGAATTGTGTTAACAGATCCTGTCTTTGGTTTAAAAGAAGAAATATAAAAAGTTATTAATAAGTGTAGGTATTATATTTACAACTGAGGTGTGTAAGCATGATTGCACATTATTTTGGTTTGGTTCAAATATAATTCATTATTATAAGAGACATTCTAAGCCCTAACTTTTTATTAGTTTATTTGGCTTTAATTTAGGTGCATGATTTTTCCGGGCTTCACTGCTGGGCACAGCCACAAGCCTATAAGCCTAAGATAATAATGTCATGAGTATTTATTGCTGACTACTGCTCAATATTCTTTGGCCAACAACTAATTCTCAATTTTAGTCTCAAATTCTAAAATTATGTTTAGTGAGTTGTAAGTATTGTTGAATTTAAAAAGAAATACTTGTAGTGTATTATTTATGTATTATTTAAATAAATAATTTGAATACCATATTATTTAGTTTGGGGACATGTAATACAAGCAGTATATGATAATACACAATGTGTGCATTTTATTTGACTGTCATGTTGCTGTTTAATTTCAATGCGTATATTGTTTGGTTGAGTGATGCACGTCTCAGCGGGCTATATGAGGAAGTAGTCGGCCGGGTTGGCCTGCTGCCAGCATAACTGCGTGCGGTAGGCGGTGTCGCAGTCGTCAGCGCCGGCGCGCGACCCGCACGCTCGCAGCGCACCCTCATTCTTAGCGCGCATGTCGTCGGGCAGCATGGCCACCACCGCCTCCACATCCACGGCGCCCGCAGACATCATACCGGCCGTTTCCATCACGCACTTGATGTAGCACTTGAGCTTGTCGTCGGGCGGCAGCGCGGCACCGGCGTTAACCTCGTCCACGAGGCGCAGCTCGACACCGGTCTCTTCTGCGCACGACTCGCGCAGCATCCGCGCTAGCTCCGCCATCTCTTCGTCCAGAGCGAGCGCCGCCGCCAACAGCGCGGCCACCGAGCACAGCAACACTTGCCTCCTGATACACATTTCGTCGCCGCTCTGAGTAAAGGCCGGTAGACGCTCGGCCAGTTATATGTGGAGCCTCAATGTCACCACACTTCGCCGGACACGTCTTTTGTTAAATTGACGAAAAATTGTACATCGATAGGTTGTTATTAGAAGTCTTGTGTTTGTCATTTTTATATTATTGGCGAAGTCACGCCAGCAAATTGTCCGACAAATAAAATTATTAGGTTCATACTGGTTGTTAGTTGCGGAAACAATCTTGTTTGTTATTATGATAGATTTGTCTAATGTGTAATTTTCTTGCTATTATTTACGGTGTGAGGACGGGCAGCGGCTAGTGCCCGCCCGAGTTTTTTCATCACCAGGCCAGTGTTTTCACATAAACACTAGGAAGTCTGAGCTGGGATAAGATAATTCTATTTTTGCCGCTGGGGTCGAGTTCAAAGCTTGCCCCCCGATAGCGAATATTTGATTCAGCTCGACGTTGCCGCGACACCAATACTTATTAATATTTAAATGTCAGCTCTCTCAGTCGATGCACAAAATAACATGCAAATTTGAAATATTCATCGCATTCCAAACGAGCTCTTTCATTCTAACTCAGCAATGAACCGTTATTATTTTTATGTCCGAATACTAATGTTTACGGTGATGAAAATGATGGCGAGTAGGACAGACAAAAAAGACAACGGTAACAATAGTTACGATTTAGGGGACTTCACAAAGTAGTGTATTCCCGTAAAGACCGGCAACGCATAAGCGGTTCCCTTGGCATTGCGGAGTCCATAGGCGTTGGATCATATAATATTGGGACATCCCTTGCTTGTTTGTTCCCTTCTTCTATAATAAATATAATATGATAGAAAAGGAAAACTGTTCTTTAATCGTTGAGTTTAAATAATATTCGTGACTAGGTTGTATATCCGTATGTGAGGTGCAGGTGAGGAGGCAGGCGGGCAATGCACACCGCACGAGCTAACTGTGTTGTGTTGTTGCAGACGCGCATGCAGTCGCTCAGGTCGGCGCACAACGGCAGCATCCGCGAGACTCTGCGCTACATGGTGCAGCGCGAGGGCCTGCTCAGGTAACATAACATGTCACACACGACTTGATACACATGCATAAATAATGTCTAGCATATAAGAAAATACATCCCTACTTTTGGACAATACTAACGCCTCATGCATTGCATTGTTGCATTATGTTTATGCGTTATTCAGGTATTATAGCAAGAGTTTCACTAAAGACAACGATAGCATTGGTCTACCGGAACCTCGACACAAACATTCAGCGCGTCGCTACATCATGTTTGTGTGCGGCTCGCGTGTCGCAGCGTGTCGTGCCGCGGATGCGCCGATACTTCCGCCCAGTGAGCGGCCATCGCAGGCCACTGCCTGTTTTCATTTTCCTTATCCGCTTCTCAATATCACCATTACACATCAGGGGAACCCCATGAGCTCATAAGACACTTGTAGTAGAACATGTTATATCTATTACTTTTCAAAATTTATTTGTACCCCATCAGCTTGCTTGCCTCTAGATAGTTTATTTCGGAACTCATTCCGTGTAGATTTTGTTTTCACCTTTGATGTTAGCAGACGCGTGCGCGACGTCGGCGGCGCGTCCCCTACCCCTACCCCTAGCCAACAGACACGTGACATCGACTGCGACTCGGCCATCGATCGCGTCTCGTTTCCAGTTAAAATGTTTAATTATGTATTTATGGTATCAAATCCATAATCCGGAAATATGGCAAGTTCGTTAATTTGACATAGTTTTTTTCTGATAACTTCGATATACAAGACTATCGGTGCAAAGATTACTCGCCGTAATCTTTTATACTAACTCCGATAACCTTGAGCCTCGAGCGTGCCTAGCTGGCTCGGCGCGCCTGCCAGCACACCCCGTGCGCCCGCCAGCACGCTCGGTGCGCCCGCCAGCACGCCCGGCAAGCGAGTTCTCACCAAGTAGTGGTAATGCTGTTGAAGTATAGACATATTTGACGAGGTATTGACATGTCTGGTCGTTTGCTTTGGGAAGGGTGGCGTGCGGTTTGTTACATAAAAAAATTGACCTTGACCTTTTATCGCATAGGTGATATGGAGAATTTCTAATTACCGTTCTTGCCAAAATTTATTTGCCTGCACCACATTTTCTACAACGCTAGTTACGTTGTATATGTAACAATTCATAGGTAGCGATGATTTATTAAACATCGATGTGCGTGCCACGGCCACGACCAATCCTTGTTTGTATTTTGGTAATTACAATATTAATTGGCATGTCATGATGACTTCCTCGAGGCTTGAGGCTGCGGGCGCGGGCGGGGGCGGGGCGCGGGCTCGGGCGCGGCGCTATCGACCGCTATCGTCTTATCAGTGTACGTGAGGCTGCGGAAGAGTCGCCAACAACATGATAAGACAATTGAGCAGCCGCGAATTGTCCGCAGGTCAGCGAGTTATCACACCGCGCCGCCGACATTGCCACCAATGTGCAACTTTTGCATTTTACTGACAACGGATTTGTACATCGCCTTATTGCCTAATGTGATAACATTTTCTGATTATTAATTTTCATTATTAACAACTAAATCTTTTATTACCTCTCCACCGGCCGAGGTGCTGCCGGAACCGACTTTGTCACATACATGTGCCCTGCGAATAGTTTTTTTCTTGCCCATATTTAATCTACATAAACTATCTACTTTTAATAGTTGTAAATTCATGGTTCTGACGTAAAATGTTGTTGAATCACCATAATTTCGTAATAAAATAGCAGCGCTCAGGCGCGGGATTGTACCGCGGCTGCTGGTTGCTAGCTGACCTACCACAAAATGTATTTAAATAATTATAACTCGTAATTGCCGACGAATTAATTTGCAACAAGTTCCTAACTATTACTGGTCTATTTTGTGACTTGTACACAAACCATATGCTCATATATTATGACGCAGAATATCAATGTGGCGATAGAATTACAATTAGTAGACAATTAATTTTGTTGGAATGTCGGGATTCGCAACACGTAACGTAGCAATTAACTGTACTATTATATTAATATTATAAGTGTTCCAAGCATCGCGAGCTCGACTTATCGATTGCTATCTCGCGGTAAGTTTGATAAAGTAATTGAGCCACACTCGGTCGTATGTATGTAGGTATAGGCACGATTGACTGAACACTATTGTAACCGTGATTTAAGTCAATTTATTTTGTAGTAGGACGCAGACAACCCGTAAGGTATTGGGCGCTTCATAGTAAAAACGCTAACGAATGTGCGAGATGTCCGGTGATCCGTTGTCCGTGTGTACATACTCGTAGGTACTAGCGCACCGCAATCAAAGTATTGTCGGATGAGGTATTATTAGCTTTGTTGCTTTCGCGCTTATTGCAAGTAAAGGCGGACGTTGCATATCACATGTGCTACTCACAAACGACCGACACGATTGCATAGTACGTAATGTGTTTAGCATTGCGATTTCCCCGCTGTTGTGTCGTGTCGCGGCTGGCGGGCACAACATACATCCGCGTACACAGTCTGTTGCCTGCTACTGCTGTTACCTGAAGAACAACACTCCTTGAATGTTGGCTACATGTCACTTTGTTATTGGTTTCTCATTAAAAATAAATAATTGGTTAAACATTGATGTGCGACGTTTATTGACGCCCGCTTTAAGTATTAAAATAACGCGACGGAGCGTGGCCGCGGCGCGCATGCATAATTAATTGCACCGTAACACCGCGGGCCCCCTCGGCCGGGCTGTGACGTCACCGGCTGACGTCACCGCCCTCGACGACGAAGGATCCGTGTAGGGTCATGGTCGTAGGTTAGAATGGTGCGTGAGTGCAGCGGCGAACGCAAACAACACTCAGGATAACAAGTGGCGACGGTGGTTGATTGTTTAAAATTTTGCACAATAATATACAGATTTACGGTGTGGTAGTGAAACTTAGTTTACAAATTGTACATTTTTTTTTAATATAAGTCGTTACTAATCGTTAATCCAGCCAGACTGACACGACTCCTCGAAGAAGTATACATAGTTGCATCGCCAAAAACAGCCAGATCTCTTCCCAAGAATCTTCAGCTCACCGTCCCCAAAGACATTTCAGTGTAACATTTAACATTACAATTATGAGAATATGTAGCTATCGGTAGCAGTTGTTCAGTAGATAAAGTAATGTGTAATTAAACAAGTTGAAATTGTTCAAAGTTACTTTAAAAACATAATTAATTGGAGACTTGTAACAGAATGCGGTTATATTATCAGCAGTTGTCAGTGCGCACCATGTCGCCAGCCGCCGCGCCGCACACAAACACACACACACACACACATACCGCTCTAATCATATATACTACAATTATTTTTAAAGTAAAAACCACGTGATACGGCATATCTGACGTCCTAGCGCACAAACTTGAACTCAATGTAGCCTGTAACGGTATCGTTTGAACCAAAAAGTCTCAGTAGTCTTCTCTGCCCAAAATCATGCATCCAATTGATGGTCAACTTTCACATTTAGTTTATCCTACACCTCCGTATGTTAATGACGTGATTATGATTTAACTGTTAAAAAAAAACATGTAAAATTGTAGTGCCAGTGCGCGTTGATCAGCACGAACAAACACCCAGTCAAATTTCAGAGTTTCTGCTTAGTGGGTTAATGCTATTAATGTTATGCTATCCTTGCGAATATTTGTCAGTGCTGGCTCGGCGCTGGCGTGTGAACAAGACAGTTGCTTAGCCAAAACGCACAGGCCGCGCCGCACAGAAGCCGCGCGGCGCCTCGCGCTTTGTTTGCTCCGCACATCTTACGCAATCGTATGCTGTTTGTACTGACACCTTGATTGTCTAGAGCTAGAGAGATTACACTTCACTGATTAAACATGATTGCATTATTGATTTTTCTCATAAAATATTAGCTTAGTAAGCGTATGTAAATAAATGAGAATTATATTAAATGCAACGAACTAATAAGGAAAATGATTCTTCAATTAAAATTGTGACTGTACCATTTTATTAGTCTATTCAAATGACTTATGTTTCCTATCTGATGAGCTTCTAGGCTAAGATGTAGGTTTAGACAAAGCAACAGAACAGAGCTGTATCCGGCGTGTGTCTAATCAAAACTTCAAAGCAACGTCTATACTTCCGCATTCTAATTACGTGAAAAATACAATTCCTAAGCTAAATTTAGTTATGTGGTTAGAAGTGAGGTGTCTATCAGAGGTCTCGGCGCCCTTTGCTCTTCTCTCGATTCAGTTCTTTGTCAAGGCATGAGGCAGTGAGAGACGCTGAGATAATTACAGTGCACGAACATTGTCTCTGCTACTGATAACGATTCATGTCTCAGTTCTCGGTACAACAAACATTGCGCCTTTTCATATTAAAACTGTGTCGCTATCGTCTGTTTTATTACCGTCTTGTCCTAAATTGATGCTGACACGTTTCTGAAATGTGATACAAAGAGAATACATTGTTGATGAGGTGCAAGTGCATCAGGTTGCGAGACGCACTGCAGTGCCGGACTGCACACGCCACCGCTGCACCTTCAGTGATTACCCAGAACATCGCCCATTCGAATGTGGTTCATATTGTGAATGCAGGAAGTAGGTACACTGCTGCCTGTCTCATGTCTCACACCACAGTGCGCGTGTTGCTGGTACGACACACTTCTACAGTTTGATGTTACATTACACGTTGTTTACATTAGTAACTATTGTTGAGTGTTAGTATCGCACCATCCTTAGCACAGCATCTATGAAGTCTGTTTGTACAAAGTTGTGTATCGCGGCCGCGGGGATTCCCTGCGCAAGCGGCGCTCCACGTGTTACAGCTCCCAGCCGGGACGTGACGTCACTTCTCTTTTAATTAAACCATGGCTCATATGCATTTTATTATCAAGCCGCATGTCGTTGTAGCGCTAAATGGTACTTTGTCACTGATTATGGTGTCTACAAATATATTTTATTCGCTTCAGAATCTTGAAGTGGCGAAGATATTTAAACAAAACAGTCTGATATCATTATATATGATAACAGTTTACACACGTTTATAACTTGTAGAACACACTTCCAAGAATGAATAGCCTAGTTGGTGTTGCGTGCTGCAGTGTAACACAAGCGGTGCTCGATGAAAACTGCGACGTAACGCTGACAGGTAACAACCGCGGCCTGAGACCTTCGCAAGCGGACGCGCCGCCAATTGCTGATTTATAAAATTCAATTACATTGCAAATCATATGACTATTTAATTTAAATACATTACATTTATATAGAAATACAATATAAAAGCGACGGAACTCGCAAAACGAGATACATCATCATGACAGGCGTTAAGTATCTCGTTTTCCGGTCTGCGAATGATTAAAGTCCAATTCTCGTCTTTTCCCCTCAAACGATAGCTGTAGCGGAGTGCCTTAAGCTGTAGTGTTCCCACTCATAGTTAGGGTAAGACGCCACCCATCCCCTCCCACCCCCTCCCGACGCGGCCGCCGCACGTCGCGTGCAGCCTCAAGGTCACGCGGCATGTACCACAGGCACTCGTCAATAAACAAACGGAAATTAATGCATGCACATGTGCCGTATTAAAACGAATAAGTCTGCGCTAAATTAGAGTAAAAAATGCATTATTGTGTTTTTCTTTTCTTGTGAATAAAGCGATATTAAACGTTCGTGACTTAAATAGACAATCGTTTGGACAAACCGCGGTCGGCGGTGACTCAGCTCATTATCATCAGCTCATGCGTAAAAATGTAGTTGTCGGTAACGTCGGCTGTGTCTGCGGAAAGCCACTTGTAATATAAATGTATTGGTGAAGGAATCCTACCAATTCTAAACAAAGAGTCTCCGCGACTGCGATGCTCGCGTGCTGCGGTCGACCACAGCACGCAACCCGCGAATATAATAGACATAAGAGTTTATAGTATTGTTAAAACAGACCGCACGACCTATCGATATATCTATTGTATAACAGAACTAGGTTTTTATTTAGTCAGGAAATTATTACAGTTATAGGATAAAACTACTTTTAAAGAAAACATAATTTAACAGTTCAGTATGAAATGCACGACACTGAAAATTCACAAAGGGCACATCCGGGAGTCGTGGCGCCGTTCTTGACCTTGCGCCGAGTCTGCCGGCGACGGGGGGAA